CTGACCCCAGTTGCTGGCACTTAGCCCTCCAGACACACACGCAGAGCCCCACACCCAGGAAAAGAGTTAGAAAGGGAGCTTAGCGAGAAAATGGGACAGATGGCACCCATCAGGTACAGGGCATGGCCAGGCAAGCGTATTGACCAGCAGCCCAGTTATATGCGACTGGCCCCTTTTAGCCCCTCATCCCTCTTATTTTCCCATGCTTGCGCCTCCCCAAATCACCCTGATCCCTTCCCTGTCTCTGCCTTTGCTTCTGCCCTTCAATGCCCCATAATAAGCTTTGTGCAATCCCAGAATGCTCTTCCTCAGCATCCCATCATGTGTCCCAAGCCCCAGGCAGTAACCCCTATGTCTATAAGGCAACCAGGAGGAGCCTCCCCTGCTGGCTTCTGACCACAGGTGTCCTGCGGCCCACAGGGCTGTAGGCTCCCCTGGGACAGCTTGGGGAAGTGCCAGGCGGGGGCTCAGGTGTTTGACCAGGTTATTGGGGTTCTCCCTCCTGCCGTCATCGTGCCTCTGGGCTCCTGTGTGCACGTGGAGATGAGCCTTTTATGGGCTGATCACTCTGGGTCAGGGTATTATTTGGGTTCCTCCACTAGCCGTTGTTTCTCTGCTCTCCTTTGCGTGTGCATGGGAGCTTATTTCACTTATTCAAACCAAAAAAAAAAAAAAAAAAAAAGCAAAAAAAACCCCAAAAACTTGGCTACTTCTCTCCTCCCTCTGCGCTTGCAGCCTGCTCACACTTCATTGGCTGGAACTGCAAAGGTTAAATTCAGACAGCTACATCTTTAGTGGGTACTTCCACCTGCCTTGGGGACGGTGCTGGGTTGAAAGGATCTCACTGGAGCTCTCTTCTGCTTTCTGACACGTCAGTTGTGGTCACACCAGCTCTACTCGGCCACCTCCATCCTTTCCCAGCACTGTCCATCACCTTTATACTATTGTCAGTACTCAGAGAGCAATCTACACAATACAAGCTTAGGAGAGTTTTTACGACCAGCTTGCAGTTCTCACCACTGCTTGCAGGTACCCATCTGTCTCTCTCTCTTAGCTTTGTCCAGGTTGTCTCTTATGTTTCCAGTTCTAGTCTTGAATTCTGGGAAACCAATTCAGGGGTGGTACCATTTTTTTATCCCAGAATCCAAGTGCCCCAAACTACTGCAAAATCAAGCGCAAATGATGCCCACTGAATCCAGTCAATTGCTCTTTATTAGGCATCCGACGCTGACAGAGAAAACCCTCCTCTACAGCAAGGGTCAGTCTACCTGGAACTCACAGGGAGCACTGTATTGCTCTTGTTCACTAATGGTGCCAAAAGACAGGTGTCTCTTCTCTGAGGCAAGGGCCTGTAAACTTTTAGGGCTGAGGACTAAAACCGTTTCCCCTATTAGAGGTTAATAGACGAGTTAGCAAGAACAGAGAGATTTTACTTCTCAAATAGGAGGGCTGCTGCTCATCCCTGATCTGCAGTATTCTGTATCTGTGTAAGGCGGCAGCTCTTACTCCTCTTGAGTTCTGAATTCAGGGGGAATTGCAATTCAAAGAGGAGCAATGTCAGTGGTCACCTTGTGGAAAACATCTCGTCTCTGTATAGCATAGCAGGCCTCCCACAGATCCCTCCCTCAATACAGCATCGTTTCTGCTACCCAAGATTTTGCACCCATGCTCTCCGGTGCTGATCCCCTACTTCAGGGCCCTCAGATCACAGGGTTTGCACCTGACACATTGTGATAGATTGCTTTACATTCCTCAGTAACAATGTGCGAAAATAAAGCTAGAGACCTGCATGAGTTAAAAATACATAACATGAAACAATATAGGTGGCTTGCTACCCACCCACTCCCTAGAACTAATGCACTAGCATTGTTCCAAATCTGTTTATAAGAGTATTAGCTGGCATAACCTTGTTGCCAGCTTCCTTCATGCTCTTTTTATTTCTATGTTCAAACATTTTCCTTTGAAATCACCACACCGTACAGAGGCCCCTTGCTGGACGTCTAAACCAGAGTAGCAATTGTACCTTTCAAAACGGAGACTTTGTTCAGCTGGAACATTACTGATTAATCAGCAATTCAGCACAACAATGCTGTAAAGTAAAAAATGAACCTGCTTCAGAAAAATTGGCATTATACTTGGCACTGTGTGTTTCAATACATACACACATGGTGCCATGATGAACAATTCTAAAACTGAGCACTTTTTTGGAAAGATTTTAGCCTTGAGGTTGATGCATGTTTCAGGAGTTCTTCCTACCTTGAAACAACTTGCAGCTAGATATATGCATCCTGGTCACAACATCTCCTGTAAAAATAATTTCCCTCTCCATAAGAGTAGTCCAGCAAAAATACCCCAACCAAGCAAAAAAAAACCCAAAGCCTACATTCAAGTGAGTTTCTAAATAAGTATGCCAGCAAAGACTAGATATAAGTTACCATCTCTGCTTCATCCAGTAACTGGAGATAATTATGCGGCCCTCACCAAATGTTTTCGTAATACAACCATGTCATGGCTTAGCTTGTATTTCAAGATTTTCAGAGAGTCTTGAAATGCATTTCAGAAATTACTATAAGGAAAACTCTTTGAAAGGAATTTTCTTAATCAACGGCAATGTGCTGCTTTATCATATCAAAAATCATATCAAATGCATTTAGATATTACCAATATGATGAAGTTTTATAAAGAGGTCTCCCTTATTTACAGTAGCTGCTATTCAAGTGATATTGCTTGTTTCATCTAAATAATCGCAGCTTTTAGACTGAAACTGGGGAGCAATATTATGCAGCAGCTACAAAGAAAGAGAAGAGACTATATATTTATGAGCATTCCAATTTAATTTTAATATCATACCTGCATTTCTAACGCAACGGTAATGTTCCCTAGGCACAGCTTAGAAATCAGATTTGTACATGGATATAATGAGCATGGGGTATATTCTTTGCAAAATAATCATAACACTCTCTTGCCAAAAAATAGCAAGACTTTTTTCTGCTATTTCCTCTATTCCACAGCCCCTTCTCCATGTGCAAAACAGATCACCTCCTGCTTAAATACCACAATCGTGACTACAAAATACCAGAGTCAGCCAATACTAAAAACACTTATGTGCTGAATATGTTCATCATAAAGAAAGAAAATATGAAGGCACTTGCAAAAACAGATTGTGCATATTAGCTTCAGGGCAATGGAGACTTGCACAATGACAGCCTTATCTTGATACTGTGCTTCAAACTGTAGTGGCCTCTTTTGCCTAGGAGACAGCTAACTTCAGCACCTGCCTCATCAGTTATCTGGCAAAACAGAAGACAGACCACTTTTTGAAAGATATATAAACACCCCAATATGTCATGTCAGTGCCGTCAGGAATGGCAATAAATATTACTTCCATTCTAATGAACTTCTTTCAGATGCATTTAATTCTCTTGTTTCTCTTTTTTGTTTTTAATTAAAAGATATGTGAGCAGGTCAGGTAGATGATTATAGTGCTTCATCTCACATCTGGTGCACTGAGGTCCATACTCCTCCCTGGAACGTCTCCTTCCAAGGCTAACAGAGAACGAACGCAACTAGCAAAGTACTTGGTGGCTCTGGAAAGGGGAAGGGAAGGGGCAACACTGGAAATGCCCATGCATTCCCTATATCAAATTAAATGTCACGAGGGAACAAAGGGAACATTCCCCAAAGACCAAAAGCACACCGCAAAACAAACTGTTAGAAATTACCTAAAATATATTGAGAAATCTGAATTCAGTTGCTACTGGTAATGCAGAGCAGCCTCAGGCAAATCACTTTTCTTTGCTTCCTGTCTGTAAAACAGAGATACTAATATATCCTTCCTTCTGCAGTTTGTCTCATCTGTTCACTGTGTAAATTCCTCGCAGCCAAGACTTTTTGTCTTTCTTACTATGTGTATGTACAGAACTGAGCATAATGAAGCGCTCATCTTGACTGAAGCCTTTTGCTGTCATTGTAGTATCAATATTTAAAAATTAGTTAACTTCTATTTATAGTTCCACCCTTGATTTCAAAAGGAATTCTGCTATTCCAGTGAACGTCTATGTGATTCAACTTACAGATTTAGTAAATAATTAGAATAATATTTACCAATCACTCTGGAATATTGTAATGCTTAATTAAGATGTACAGAACACTAGTCGTCCCTACAATGAGGGAAGCATGCAAGTCCAGAACAATATTAATAGTAGTAGCAGCATTACGTTTGGAAATTTCATGCCTTAGGACAATTTCAGTATTCAATGACATAAATACTTTTGCCAATGACTATAAGGACAGGGGGTACTTATGAATGACATTTCACTCACTCCTCTCACTATTCAATTAGATGTGGCTGATATGCTAAGTGGTTTTCAGTAAGAATATAAGGGACCAGCAGGAAGAGCTTTCAACAGCATTAATCAATCATATAATAGCACAATTGTTGGTAAGGAAAAGGCAGGAGTTACTAGCAGTTAGTACTGTGCTGTATGAAACACTGCTTTTCTCCCAGGTGAGATATTGTGAAGTGATGGTGACCCTTCTATACCATAGCTAGCTAAACATGCAGTCCAACACAAGGACATTTTTCAAGACCTTTCACAATTTTCCTCCCAACTAGAAGAGCACTACAGAGCCATCAAATTAACTCAGTTTCAGACACTGGAGGTATACTCCTGAAATTTCAGGGCATGAGCTTATCTGTGCCATCCATCACTCCAAAGTGACAATTAGGCCTTGGATATACAATCATGTTAATCCAAGAAGAGCAGTTCTATCTCAGTTTAAGAGGAAAAAACATTGTGAATATGGTGATTCTTCCTGTGGAGTAGATCTGCCTCAAACAAAAAGCTTTACCACTGGGAACATCACTTCAGACAAGGAATGCATCCTGTCACGTCCCAAAGCCCAGCTTTTCTGGTTTACAGAGGTGTCCCCCAATTTCGGCAATCAGTGCAAGCAAGTCAACTGAAAGGCTTTCTTCCTCCCTCCTGTTCCCTGTCGTCATGACCCCTCCTTCCCCTCCAGACACCCTTGTGCTGGCCGCAGCCCAGAATCCAGGGTGCGGGATATACTGCTGTCTCGTTCACACCTAAGGCCTCCCTATCCCCTTCCTTGCATGACAGCAAAGTTGCCAGCTGAGAAGCACTGAGCACAGGATTCATGCCACATGTCTGCCTGGTTGAATCACAGGCTACTGCAACTGGGACATACAAGCTCACTAAAGTAACAACTTCTCCCGTTAAGCTAACTGACCAAAACTAACAGCTAAAAAGACTCATCACTACAAAGAATCTCAAGTGCCTGCAGAAACACTAACGAGGATGTGAAGTCAGTACCTGAAAGGACCACGGGAAAGAGCTGGCACACCGTGGTGGTGAATGAAGAAGCCAGTTGCAATCACCAAGAAGATTCTCGGGTTTGTAAGGGAAAACATTCAGTAGGAGCAGTAGCTTGCAAAATCCTAGGTTAGAAGTAATGACAAAACAGACAGCCATCCTTGAGTGTCACCTCTCTCTACTGCTGGTGGTGCAACTCACAGGAAGCTCTATCCTGAGAGCGGGCACTTCTTCATGGAGCTTGGCACTTACTTTGCTTGGGCTTCAAGGTTTGCCTTTCTCAGCATAGCCCACTGACAAACTAATGGTCCCCCTCCTGCCCTTCGGTTTTATGCCTACGATAAAACATAGTTCAGTGCCTGTTAATAGAAAGGCAGGTTCTCCTTTTTGTCTTCCTCTTCTGCTAATCATTTTTCATTCGCACGTAGGATTTCACGTAAGAGAAACGAGAAGGATTTCAGCACCTGTTCTGTGCAGGATCAAAGCCGCAGTATATTCTTTTTCCATTTCTACAATTACTTTAATGCTCTTGATGCCAAAGGACTGCCCTGTTCTACAATGAATAACCTAGCTAACAAAATAATGGTGCCATGTGAGCTACAAAGCTGATTCACATTGATTTTTTTAGTGCAATCTGGCAGTAGGCAGTGTGTAAGTCACCTCCAAACAGAGCCCTTTGACAATGTACTATTCCTTTTACATAGTGATCATGTGGCACAGAGCAAATGAGACAAGAAATGGAATGGGGTCAAATCGGAATCACTACAGAGAGTATTAAGATAAAGAACCTTAAATTGAAAACTGGAAGACCTAGTCGTCTTAACAGAAGCTAAAGATTAGGATCAGAGCTTTTACACGAAGATGAATTATACTTTGAGAAGTAGGGAATCCACCAGAACAAAAAGCCTGTTTCATGTAAGCAATTTAGCAAATGCAATTTCAACTATGACTGTAAAAAATGATGAACTTGACAAGCTAGTAAATGTCAGTTACTTAAAGCTTATTATTCATTTTATGCAAAATACTGTTGTCATACTACTCTGCTTACAGCAGATGAAAACAAGAACCTATTTGGTCTGTAATTCTATATCTATAGGTACAGGGCCATTAGCAATGGCATTTTTCCTTCCAATGTTTTGTAACATCCCCCAGCATTATCCAAAACAACAATAGTACTGAGCTTCTGCAGCTGTTTCCAGCTTCTTCCATTAAAAAAGAGGAAAACAGAAAACTTTGTTTTCCTGAAAAAAGAAACGTGCAATGTTATTTTTTATGCTAACACATTAGGTAGGCATGTAAAATCATTAAGACTGCTACTGTATTGGGCATATGTTAGTAAAAATTGTTGGGAAAATGTACACTTGCTCATATAATGGAGCTCTTGTAGTAAAAATGTTTTTTTGCAATGGTTCCCAAGAAAGCATCATTTAGTATCATAACAAACAAAATTTAGACCAGGTGTTTGCTAACTGAGCTTCTAAACATAAGAAGCACTTTGGGACTACTCATGAGAGAGGTTTGTTCCCACTGTATTGTAACTTATATTCAGTATCTACTTGGAATTTTCAGATTGTTAACCTTTTATAACATTTTCCAGTTGTTTCATTGCAACAACCTGTCATTTGGTATAATAACATACTACCTGAAATACATCTAGCCTAGACTGTGGCTAGTCATGCATCAGATAACTGGAGGAAAGTAGAAGGATCTTGCTTATCAGATAAAATCTGTGTCCTTGAACTGCCGATATTGTATGACTAGAAGTTTCTATAGACACAGAGAAACAAAGCAGAGGTGAACAGATACCTCTGTTTTTCCTGAGGACATAAGCAGGAAATCAATTACATTTAGCCAGCCTGGGTATGTATAAACTAAAGAAGAGCTAAAGGGCTAAGCTGTTTTTACGGAGTGGCAATTTGGCAATGTACTTAAAAAAAAAAAAAAAAAAAAAGCGAGATTTAAATCTTTGAATCCTAGAAAGCATAAGAATTACTCTCAGAAGAATCAAGAAAATCAGATGCAGGGGATCTGGGGGTGTTTAGTTCTTTTCTGGAGTATTTATTGACTGATTTCTCTTCTTCAGCATCTACCACTTCATTATTCCTGGCCTTAAGTGCTATTTTTTCTTCAGCAGCAACTAGGCGATGCAATTCTTGTTGAACAGATCAAAATAGATGTTGCCCAATTTTGTGTTTTGTTAAAAGAAATTTCTTAAAGCTCCAGTTCCTGCAATCAGGTGATTATACTAGAGCTTCAGGTTTCAGGGAAGCCTGAAGAGCAGTAAGTCTTGAACCTTTCTCCATCAGTTTTGACAGGGAAATCACTAAACTTGACATACCCTGGCACTGTGGTAGTACACAGGCCTTTCTTCTTGTGAGAACTCTACAAAGATGTTTCACCCTTTAGCATGGCTGGTTCTATAAAACCTGTTTACTTCTTAATAGCTAAGGAAAGCAAAGCCCCCAGAGGCCAGCATGTTTAGGGAGATGTAAAACTGATAAACAATACGCAGTGACAGCAGCAGCAGATCACTCACTCATCCGTCCCAGCAACTTTAGGCCAGATAACAAGTTTACACCCAGTAACTGCTTACAAATACACTCTACAGCTACCATTGTGGGGTTTCCTTCCCGCCCTGCCAGACCATAATGAAGCAGGAAAGTGTGCAGAGACACTCTAGGGCATGATTAGATGGTTATATAGCCTATGGAAAGCATAACATACAGCAACCACCCACCACAATCTTAATGTAAGGAGAATCTTTACAAAAACAAAAACCTGATTTTAATTATGGGAGTAAGTATAATTATCAAGTAAGCTGTATGCTAGAAAATGTAAGAGAAAAGGAAAAGCTTTTTACACAGGTGCTTTGTTTCTTCAATTATTTGAGAGCTCTATGGCCATTACACTCATATTCAGTTACTCAGTGTGTCCTGATGGGCAACCGTGCAGCAACTGAAGGGCAGAAAAGAGCAAAAGGGTACCTAAGCTGCAGGTTTCTGATCCTGAAACCAAAGTTACATTGGCAATTATGGTCACCAGGAATATAATTTATCTGGCCTAAAATAAGTGTTAAACAGTGAAATGTCTTATGTCTGAGCTAGTCACCCTAGGCTCACTCTATAGCCAATGGAGAGACACAGACATCTTCAGTGGAAAATACATCTCTGCATATGGCAGAAAACTAATTTTTTTCTCTGTAAAGGCCTACAGTGACATGCTCAGACTTAGTTACTTAATTTCTAAAGTTAGACTCAAGGGATCTTGATGAGCTAGGGAGAAATGATGCTCAAGCCTGCTTATTCACTTCACCTTAAAGGTCACTGGATTTCTCTACTGAAAGAAACCCTGTAAATAGCAACAAGAAGCCAAGATTTCCCTCTAGTGGACAAGTAGTTTAACCACAGTTTCAGATTCTTTCTTGGTGCTCTAATAAATAGCCTAATAGATGGTGGATGTTTTTCTGCATGTGGCACAGCTTCAACAAAAGTGCAAATTCTGGTCCCACTTTATAACTTACTACTAAAGTTCACTACCGAGAGGAAGAGGTGGAAGAGATCTAATTTTCTTCAAACAGATGGGGGAATTAAATCAAGAGTTTTCCACTTCCCGAGTGGAGCATTATGTAAGAGGAAAATGGCATTAGTGGTGGTTTCAAACAGAAGACTGAACCTAAATTAAGACTTTGAAAAGAAGGGCATAGCTGCCTGCCTTCAAGGCCAGGGTGGAGAGAGCCCGAGCAGAGGAAGTGGGAATTACACTCTCAGCAGTTCCTTTGAGTGGGCTAGCTGCTGTGAAGCACCTAATGTGGCCAAGCCTGGGTACCCAACTTCAGGAACCCAGATCTAAGCCTTATTTTTCAAGTCTTAGTCCTTCTTTTACAAAATAAGAAAAATATGCCTTCTGTGTTCTTCAGAGACACTGCTAAAATAAAGAGATAAACTAGATTCTTAGGGGATCAGATATTGAGGTAATTTGGGCATGAAAGTATTTAAGATTTTATCCTACATCCTTGTATCCTACTCTCATATTTTTGGTCTTTGAAAATGTCTATAGTGAAGAACAAAAGCAGGAAAAGGAGAAAGAAAATGTAACACCACAGAAATTAATCTTCGGCCTCTTAAATGTAATACATAGTAATTACTTCCAACCCTGGCATAAGGTTCAGCGGCAATTAAGCTTTTTAAAATAAGAGCTTGAGAGGGCAGGCATTATGCAATGCTCAGCTGCAAAAGTATTTCATGTTCTCTGATATCTCTTGTCATGGTTTTGATAATGCCTGAGACATCAGGCAAATTCCTGAGAAACTGGCTTGGTGCAGTTACCTTCAGAGGTTCCAGGAGGTGTTCATCCATTTTTTTCTGGCTAATTGGCCTTAAAAACCTTTGTTTTGCTTCCTTTAAAGTAGCTGTGAAGATAATAAATGAAATAATCAGCATTCTACTGAAAACGGTATTCCCTAGATTAACTTCAACAGGAGTTAGACATAGAGTTACAATACGCACCTCTTGCTAATCTGTCACCAAAGTCTTCATTGAAATAAAAGCAAGTAGGAAGATCTGAACTCAGAGTAGCATGTGTGTAGCAAATTGAAAAAAAGAATCACAAAGTACTTTTACAGTTGAAAGGCAAATACACAGAAATTATGGAATGCAGAACTGAGATGTTTGAGGCAGCCTTAATTTGGCCTAGTTTGTTTCTGCATCTTCTGCTACATTATCTGAGACTCTTTCTCTACAGGCCTCAATCAGTCAGCGAGAACAAAAGATGATACCTGATCTGTGTCTAGTTACTTGGTGTTTCTTTGGCAGAATTGGGAATGAAGTGGACAATTCAAATTTTCAGTTCGTGTTTTAAATGCCCGATCATTTTTTCTAGGTATGAAAAGATACAGCCTTTCATAGATGAAGACTTAGGAAATTTACATGTGAAACCCCCAGACAGCAAGATAATCACTTTCTTCATGAAGTTAATTTCTTCATGTTTCTTCAAAATATTATTTGGAAGAGTTTTCTCCTACAAATGTCTATGCAGTGCTTCCAGGGAATCTAATCTCCTGATGATAGGCAGCTTGAATGTTATTTTAAATAACTTTATGAAGGCCATCACAATCACTATTCTCACCAATAGACTGGAAAACTGGGACAGAGATGAAATTACTGTCTCAGTGTTATCTAAAAACTCATTGACAGAATAGGGAAGGGAATTCCATATTCTGAGTCCCAAGACAGTATTTTGTCTACTGAAGGTCATGAATTTACAACTTATATTTTTCTAGTTCAGAATGTATGCAGCTGCATTTCATGATACGCTAGATGAAAAACAGCCCACTATTGGTTTTTCCACTTTGAAAGAACTTTTCTCATACAGTGTTACATCTGAAAAGCTAAGTAGTCAGTGCAATAGCCAGTGAATACTGTCTACAACCAAAAGCAGGCAGAAGAAAATACGTTTTAAAGTGTTATAACAAAGACTACTTGTGCAGTGGTGCTGAAACAGGGGCATTTACTTCACATTTCAGAGAATTTGTTAAGTATACTATTTATACTCTGGGAACTGTCAGGAGGTTATACCTGTGCACTACTTTGGATACACACACACACAAAGAACGGTTTAGGTTGGAAGGGACCTCTGGAGATCATCTAGTCCAACCTCCCTGCTCAAGCAGGGTCCTCTAGAGCATATTTCCCAGGGTCAAAACCCACCAACAGACTGCTGTATTATCAAATAGCATTAGAGGGATTCATTCATGACAACTTTTTATATATGAAAATGCAGCCGATGTCTGCATGTACAACATATTGCAAAATATTTCTGAAAGTCTGCTACATACTAACAATGGTTGTACTATCCACCACAGGGAAGAAGGGCTAAAACAAATGACAGGGGATCAGTTTTACAGCTTAAATTAGTTGTTACTGAATGTCTTGACTTAAATTTGCTGAGACATTTCCTCTATGCAGGCTCCCAACATTCTTGCAAATGTTCTTCCAGTGTCATCAAGTCCAGCAGATTTAATATACTCCTCTATTTCACAGGACTTTTGAATAGGCTGAGGAAACAGAGTACAGTAACTAAGACTGACCAAGAAGCATGGAAGGCAGTTATAATCAGGCTGAAGTGAGAAGAAATAACCTGCCAGCAGAAGAGAAGGGAAGAACGCTAGTGAAAGTTAAAGCTATACAAGAGCCAAATGGTATGAGTACTTGAAGATACTGGCATTTGTCATTCCCAGGTTTACAGATTAGGATGAAAGGAAATTACCACAAAATCCAACCTCATGCATAAACATCACCATTTACTTGACCTTTGCACACCTTTTCAAAACATGTACAATTTTGCATGGATGGAGAAATCCTAACTACTGTATCTCTTCAAAAAAGTAGCACAACCCTCCGCTTATGAGAGACATGGCCAAACAGGGCCGGGCTCACACAGACTGCAGTTTGGTGCCATGCCCGTTTCACCATGGGATCTGGGCACAGCAACCCTCCCTTTGTCAAGCCTCCCACCTCCACCGCACCCAGGGATCCACCGTTTCCTTTGAAAACACCGCTGGAGAGGACTTCGCAGGCAACACTGCCTGCCACGGTAGCCCCGGACGGGCACCCCCCACCGCCGGCAGCCAGCCCCGCCGGGGCACACGCCCGCCTC